AGTTGTTGTCATTTAAGAACCAATACAGATAACACGTTATTGACGTTTAAAGCTAGAAATTCTTTAAAATAAATTTTTAGACACTCTGTATGAGGTAGTTTTAATTACTGCAACTCAAGAACTGAACAATAAATAAACTTCAGTAAATATTTAGTATTAAAAACTTTGATACCCTTGGAGAAATGAAGCCTTAAAATTTTTACTGCAATTTCACAAAATTGAAAATATTTCAAAAACGGTAAGGTTTAAGTATAATAAACCTTAATCAAATTTACCTTTATTTTAATCGTAGAAACTAAAAATGTAATAATATACAGGGTGTTCCATTTAAAAAATGATTTTAGCTTTGATATTTTTTATTTAACTGACACTCTGTAGTTTGTAAAAATATTTTAAATTGTATACTCTGTTTTTTTTTTCTCAGGTAAGATTTCGACAGACGATGACAGAAGAAAAGCAGATGACGTCCCATACCAATCTATTTATTTTACTAAAAAAAGTTTCTAATAATTTTAAGTTATCTATGGATGGGTTTAAATATAAATCCGTCATGCGTCGTGTCTTGTTGTTTTTAACCAGTTTTATTGGTTTTATTTAAAAATGACAGATCGTATTTCAATTTTATTGGTTTGACGGAACGATGAACGACAAACGGACGCCGATGCGTATGAACTCGCCTTTAGATTTTGTCATTTTTGACGCTTGTCAAAGTCTTGCCAAATTATAGGTTATAATTTTTGTGGTCAACTTTTTGTTAAATACCCTGCGTTTTGGAAGATAATGCATTTTGATTCGTATTATTACGTGTGTTTTGTGTCTTTTGAAGTCAAGTGGAGGAAAAATCGAGTGAAAATTAACTGTAGACCCAGAGCACAGTTTATGGTTAATATTCGCTGCCCAGGCAGAAAGTCTTATACACCAATAAAGTTTGTATACCATTTCGTCGTAGATAAGTGCATCTCGTATGTAAAGAAGGATCAAACTAAACACATACTAAAACTGGAGTAGCTGTAAAATATCGACATCACACGATAGGTAAATAATGGATTTTAGTACTGCAGAAAAAATAATGTCAAAAGGTACTGGTTTAAAAAAATTAAGATTAAAGTTAATTAATCAACCTTTAAGGTATAAAATTTGGTAGGAGGTGTTATTATTAATAAAATAGTTTGTTTTATTTACCTATGTTGTTTTATTTATTCCTGTGGAATATTACAAATTTGTATTTGTACATAAGTTATATTGATAAATATAATCATAAATGCTGGTAGTTTCATAAAGCTTGAAAGTAAATAATAGTTTTTTTATATTTTTTGGTATGTAGTGTCTTGTTCTTGTTTGTTTTGTATTAACACATACCGTTTTTATTAAATAAAATAACTCGATAACATTTTTTCAGTTTTATACAGTTTTTTCACAATATTTTGAAGTAATCACTTGTCATCTTGTCAATCAAATTTTAAATATTTCCTGCTATGCGTTTCAGTTGTACCAACTTATTTCTTTGTAAAATAAAATAAACTACTTTGAAATTAAAATGACAGACACATCTATCACTGTCAAGGATCTTCTCGTTGGACAGACTATAGCTCTAATAGTCCTTCAACGAACCCAAAACTTACAATTTGTAAAAATCTAATCGTTTAGCTAAAATACTCCATGTCGTATGTGGTGAACAACCCTGTATATGTCAAAAAAGTGGTGATAAATGCAGCAAATGTAGCAATCTGAAAAAGTGATTTCAGCTAAAAGAAAATTACCCAAACTGATATCTATAATTTGCTAAACTTTTTTGATCGATTTTTAGCATCAGAACTAATTTCAAGCATTGTTGTTCACTCAGAATGTGTTTATGAATGAACTAAATACTGTCCTGTCAGTCTGTAGCGCATATTTACGACAAATTTCGGATATAGTTAGAGTTACGTAGGCCAAACCGAACGACACACACACCGATTCCTGGCTCCGATCCAATGTTTATCCAGACTGGATGGAATTCGATGCATTTTTTTGCATTCCTGCGTGTCCGCAAGGACTCCATTCACTTATTTCATTTCAAAGTAAATACTCGATCTTTTTATTTAATAATATTTATAAACTCTTCGTTCTAAACTTATTGAAATGACAAACAATCTTGAATAGATTGGATTAGTATACTCAGGGTTTTCTTTTATACATTGACACCCCCTTTATCTTTTTTATTTCACGTTTCCGAAAACTGTCTCAAATGAAAGTGGTTTTGAATAAATTTGCCAAAAAAGTCTATTTTGCATATACAAAGTGCTTCAAAATCTGGGCATGGTTCAACTATCTTATTTCAAATTAAGTATAGAAGAATATATAAACAAGGGTATAGGCTATGCTACATAAAAGTAGTTAGGATTTTTAGGAGAAAATAAAAATCAAATAAGAAATTGGGTACTAATTTGAAATAAGAAAGTTGGGCCACGCACAGGATTTCTAAGGCACCCTGTATATGCAAAGAAGACTGTTTTGAAAAATGTATTCGAGACCATTAAACTTTTATTCAAGACACTTTTTTCGAAAACGTCGAATAAAAAAGATACAGAGGATGTCAATATATAAAACAAACCCTGTATATGCCGGAGGAGTAATAATTGCTCAATATTTGTCTGTTTCATCTTGGCTCTGCCAAAAGTCGTAAAATTTAGTGAAATATAAAATATTCTTACCGCCTTTTGGTAGCTCTATTAGTCAATAGATGATTTCCGATTTTATAAATCCCCCCCACCACCCCCAACCACTCACAAGTCAGCCAAAACTAACTGGGTTCACGGGCTACTAGCATAGAATGTTTTTACCAAATTTGAATGAAATCGTACAAAAAAAGAATTTTTGCAACATACTTCTGGATTTTTGCCCACTGTGCGCCGTGTCGAGCTTGCGTCATGCGAAGTTGCCGTAGTTTCAACAATTTCAAATTCAAGACACTCGAAGCAATCAAATTCTTATTAAATTTTAAAAATAAAACAGAGAAACATGAAAGGAAATAAACAAAACAAAAATGCACTGATTATTCGTTGGGCTGTTTTCGATATATTGAATTCTAAATTACGATAAACATTTTAGGAATTTCTTTTTTGTGACCTGATTGTGAATAATATGATGAATCATTTTATTAAATTTATTCCAAAATAAAGTTATTGTGCAGCATAACAAAGATTTTCGTAAACGTCATAAACGTAATGTTTTAGTTAATTCTCGGTGGTTTTTGTTAAGTTTTCATTGAAAGGGTAAGTACTAAAAATAATTAATGTATTTTTTTTCTATAATTATTAATAATGAGCACTGATAAAAGATTAAATTTAACATTCCTAATTTTTTGAGTAGAAACTTGTCTATGAATTTATAAATGTAGAACTATGTAGTATGTGGATAACATAGGAGGTTGCAACACTGCAAGGTTTAGATACACCGTAGGGAAATCTCAGGTGAATAAACAAGTGGCACTAAAAAGTTTTTTCAAATTTCCCGGAAAATGTCAAGAAAAATTTTAAATTTTCAACATTTCTCTTTCGCAAAAAAAACCTCATAGGCGTGTTTCTGGGGTTGAACTATACTACCAGTTAAAATAGTTGCACTTATTTCTGGGACACCCTGTATAATTACGAAAGTTTTATTTTAAAAATTTGTATCTTTTGAAAAAGGATAAGAGATTTAATTCAGATGTGAAAGAATAAATGACTCCGGACTGGATGATCAGAATCCAACAAACGCTTCTTACTCTATATTATACCATAAAAATAATAATATTAAGGTTTTGAACGTAGACGCTAGGGGCCTTTTTACAATTTAACAAACATAGCGCGTTTTTTTCAAAAAAATTAAATACGACAGTATATGTAATTTTAACTGATAGTAAAGAGTAATAAAAGCTTAAAAAGTCAGCGAAAACCGCATCTTGATATCTTCTTTCAAACCGAAGATATTAGCAAAATTATAATAAATACCAAAAAATAAGCCCTTAATTACCTTATTTTTACAACACGGTATCAGTAGCCGTCTTGATTATGCCCATTCTAACAAAAAAAATTAGATAGAAACAGTTAGTATATTTTAAAATCGACGAAATACCAGAATACCATAATACCAGATGTATTATGGTAAATATCTAATAATTAAGATATTAATAACAGTGAAAAAGAAACGAGGATTCAGTGAAGTCATAGTAGGCTTTGGAAAAAAATTGCTTTTGACGTAATAGTATAAACGTGAAATTGTTATTAGATCAACATTTTGATAGTCTTTGTAGCGTTTTTTATCTTTTAATTGCTTTTTCAAAATGCCTTTATTACTTGAAGTAGCTGAAGTTGTTGACATTAGATCATTACTCAGAGCGAGTTAAATTGTTTTACAAAGGTAGATCTACCCCAAATGGGATAGCTGTGGCAACACTGCTGTTACCACTTTTCCTGACGCTAGCTCGTGTGTCACGGCCTTGAATTTTTACTACCAACGCGCGCAAAGAAGTTTCATTTCAAAAAGACAAATTCGAACATCGGTGAAAATTAAAATAGATATCCATCTTTTCTTTGAAATCCTGTATTTTCTCTAATAATTGATATATCAGAGTGAATAAAAAAAGAAAATGCTCAGAAAAAATCAGGCTATAAATTGATGTCACAATATATTTCCAATTTTCAGTTGCTTACTCTACAAGGTGTCCCAAAAAACAATAAAAATTCTTTACTTCCTTTACAGCCCTGTATATGGCATAAAAACAAATCGTTTAAAAATGGCAATACGTAAGACGTATTCGTGAAAAATCTAGCTACAGTTCGTATAAAATATATCAAAATCTAGAGGAGGGTTCAAGAGGAAATTCATGTTAAACTTGATGTAAATTTTGCCTGTTTTTTTCTTATTAGTAAAAAAATTAAATATTTATTTCCCTAAAATATTTAGTTAAATTTTAATGGTTAGTATAGAAAAAAAAACACATTAAAGCACATAGAAGAAAAAAAATGTAGTTTACTCACCAAGAGTTATGCATATTACTACTGAGTTATCACAATGGACGGTGCAAAATAAAAATTATCCTGAAAAAAAGAAGAATATGAGTTTATTTTAATAGAAAAACAAACATATTCTTTAAAACATCTAAATTCTAGCCAGTCCTAGATTCACTATATCCACAGTTTTAAATTGATTTTTTTGGAAAGAACTAGGAAAAGTATAAAATTGTCTCTAATAGTGTCCAAAAACTATTTTATTTATGGACATAGTAAAACTAGAACCACGGACAAATAATATAAATATATCTTGCTGCAGTATGTCCTGGATTGACTACAAAAAATAAAAATCTCTCCGAGAAACGCATAATGCAAAATTCAACAAAACTGTGAAGAGTATTCTTTCTTATTTTTATTCAATATGTTCCCCTATATTACTCTATTGTGCGAAACATTTTCAAATTCCCTCAGGAATATCAGGTGTACGTCATCGTTGCACAAAACACTGACATCTATTCCTTCGGGATAGACAGGGAAAACTAGAATTCTGCATCAGCAGGAAGCATATTGATCTTATTTTATCTATAAATAAATCTAGGTAGAGGTTTTGTTTTATACTCAGTAGATAGGGAGTTAACCCGTGGTTTAAAAAGAATTTCTAAGAATGTCAATTATTATAAATTTGTGGATAGTGTTGATAAAAAATTACAGCAAAAATATTAGGTAATCCTAATATTAATAATAATATTATTAATTCGTCAAGCCAACTCGACGCAGTTTTTTTTTTCGATCATACGGTAGTAACAGCTTTTAGTACTGTAGATACAAGGTCAAAAAATATTGGTCTAAAAAAAAGATTAAAGTTGATTAACCAACTTTAAAGGTCTAAAATTCATTGTTTGTAAATTATTGAAATCATTATTAATCAAATATTTTGTTTTATTTGTGTTGTGTGTTATTTATTCCTGTGCAATATTAACATTTATTTTTATTTGTACATAACTTCTATTGATGAATTCCTGTTTTATTTTGCTTGTGTAGAATCCTTACTCTATTCACAGTAGAGTTCTTAATTTTTAAGTAAAACATAAGCAGGGTTTATTAAGATTTTTTTAAAAAGTTTATACACAGAAAGTGTTTTAACATTTATCTCAAAATGTAACATTATAAATTATTTCATGTTTTGATTCACAAAAGTGTCATGCTCCAGTTTCGACAAATACACAGCCGTATTTCATATCGCGTGAAAGTTGGATACCTTTCAGGCAAATGTAGTTTCCAAGTTTTTTGATGTGGAGCCAAAAAGTTAACAAAAAAATAGTAAAAAATGCATGTAGGTATACATTACTTTGTAAAGATTATACAAATAATAAATAAATGAGGAATAAGGATATTTTCGAACCGTAACAGAATATTTTAATTTATTTATGGAGCATACAGAGTAGCGATGGGAACTATCGAATGAATTAGACTATCGAATGGTTACTGAATGAATGATTTCAACTATCGAATGGTTTTATTCGAATAAAATCATTCATTCATTTGTATACTAAAGCATATGTGACAATCTCGCCGTGCGACTAAATGGTTATCGTTGAGCCACGACTATCGAATGCTTTTGATAAATAAAATTTAGTATTCGTTTGATTTTTGTGTGCGTCAATGCATTATTAGTTCTTCCAAATTTTTATAACTTCGCCTTATAAATACTATGCTATTTTTGCGTTTATTAAAATATTTAAAATACTAAAATACTAGTTTTTTTTAATTGTCGATTGTGTGCGTGTGCAGGTGGTCAAAAATTTTCCGAAAATTTGTGTGATTTTCCATAGCCCGATCTTTCAATTATTTTATTTTATATGGTATATATGGTCTATTTTTTAATGGGAAATTTTGAGAAGTAGCAATTTTTAGGAGAGATGAGATGAACTTAGAATTAATTTTAAAAATACATATTTGCATTTTAGATGTTTTAATAATATGAATTAGTTGAACTTAATAATCATATTTAAGTAATGTGGTTAAGTAAATGGTTATCGAACTTAAGAAAATTAAATTGAAAGTTTTACACGTGCCAATTTAAAAAAAAAAAGTTAACGATGTTTGTATTTTGTTTATGCTAATTCTCTTACATGTAGTTTTTTGCGAAGAAATATTTCATTTATTTTTTAAAGTAAATGCCAGTAAAAGTAAATATTATTTTTAAATAGTAATATAACGTACCTAATATAAATAATTTTGATTTCTAATTTTTTATTTATATTTTCCTTCTATTACACTGCATGCTTAGAAAATGAATAAATGTTTATATTTCGTGATTTTAAAGTGTGTTGTTAGTATAACAAATTAGTTCTGCAATTATTATATAATAAACCAACGTTGCCAAAAAATTTAAAGACTATATTATTTTTAAATAGGATCTAATATAAATAATTTTGACATCTAATTTGTTGATTATATTTTGCTACTACGTAAAAAAAATGTTTATATTAAATTATTTTAAATTTTGTTGTTAATAGGTATAACAAATTATTACTGTTATTATTATTTATTAAACCAGTCTTTGCTTAAAAACATTAAAAATCATTTTCCTACATCCAAAATAACAAGTATTATTGTAGTGTAACAACAGACTATTAATAAAAAACAATGCAAAATATATAGACATACTATCCCTAACTAACTAAAGCCAAACAATAATATTCTTTGCTAATATCAACTAATACCAATATATGGCAACAGCGCCCTTCATAATGTATTTTCTGTGTAAATACTAGCACCTCAGTAAAAAAAAAATAATGTGTCCTTATCTCTATATGACTCCGCAAAAATCAAAGATGCCGGCTTCTTTCATAGCATTGCCACCGACCGCTGTCGGGTTTCTCGGAAAGAAACCTACGTCGCCGGGCGACAACTAAAATCCAGTTAATATTTTATTATAATCGATCCTGACGAATAAATGAATTTCATAAACGAATGAATTTTATAAATGAATGGTTTTTGCTGCCGAATTACTAGAATACAATATTTCAAGGCAGATGACGCATCTATTCGATAATTTTTATTCGAATAGTTTTCAACGAATGTTTTCTTACTAGCTATCGAATTATTCGGATGAATTGCAACTATCGAATGTTTCGATAGTATTCATTCGATAGTTCCCACTACTAATACAGAGTATAAAAAGAAAAAAAAACTCGTCATAACGACAGTTGCCTATATAAAGCTCTGTTTCAAAAACAACAGTTTTCTCGTCATTTTCCGCCAAATTAATAGCAGGATTTCCATTTGAATTTGCCTTCCTCTCGGAAAAACAGCCCTTTTATACAGTGGAGGTGCTTATTATTGTTTTCTGAAAAAGATACGATGTTTTTTTCCTTTTTGTTCATACATCTCGTTGATCCTTTTGAAGGCATACTTTTCATCTTGAAAACCTTGCTCGCTCGCTTTTGCTTGTATTTTCATATACAAATTTTATGTCACAGTAGACCATGTATAGTTACTAGACACATCACTTATATCGTTACTTTGAAGCTAAAAATATGTATCTTTGTAAATGTGCTCATTAACAATCCTTCGTTGTTTTTTCATCCTACTTTAATACCTACAGTGATGCCACAATTGACTAGAAACCAAAGTTATCGATACAGGATGTGTCCTAAATAAGTGCAAACATTTTCAGGGCCATGTAGATAATAATATAAGTAAATACAAAATATTTTCATGGTGTCTGTCTGTCTGTCTGTCCGTCTGTAACATGATAACTCAAAAACCGCTAAACCGATTTTAACCAAATTTGGCAATAAAAATACTGTGGCACCCGAGAATCTGGCCATTAGTTTTTGGTGGGGGTGGGGGGTTAGTAAGGGGGTATGGGAGGGGGTTAAAAATTTAAAAAAATCGTAACTCCAAAATTACAGTAGCTAGTGAAACGCGGTTTCAATTTAAGATTAGGAATAATATTTGCAACAAAATTTGTAATAACATCAAAATCAGTCAAACTCGCAGTTTTTGATATATTAACATATTTTAGTATGGGCGGCTATACGTGCCTCCCGGCGCCATTTTTTTGCTTAAATTTTGAGAACCACTTGATCTTTTCTAGGTTTTCTTTCTTGTAAATTTAATCTGCCACATACGTTGCCATATTAGCAAGATATTATGTTTTTAACCAAGAATTCAAAAAAATGTGTTGTATTATCTAAAATTCGTTGGTTGAAATATACCAGCCCTAAAATATTTGCACTTATTTAAGACTCATCCTGTGTCTAGTGTATTAGTGCTTATTTGCTTTGCCAAAAAGTGACGTAAATTTTTATATTATGTTGGTTACAGGATAGACTCACAAAAAACCGTATCTATGGTATTAAATAGTCTAACATCTGATCTAGCAAAATAGATAATTTCATTATTGTGATGTTGCAGCTGTATTTAATTTGCAATTAATTGGTTTTTGATGGGTTTATAAATAATTTAAACTACTCTAATTACAGGCGTTTTAAAGATTTATTTGAAAAGTCGAAAACCACGAGTCAGCTTTTATTTTAATTTAGTTTTGATAGCTCTCAGCTAAAATTTAATTGGCTTTTCGTATCAGTTTTGGCGAAACTTCCATTTGCAACAAGAAGTTAAGAATTATTAAACATAATTAGAAGTAGTTTCCACAATTTATAGCAGCTCTATTTTTGGTATACAATCGACAAAAGAAGATTTTTCAACTTTAAAAACTTTGGATTTTATAGCGAAATCGTAAATAGACTTTTTAAAGGTCTACATTTGGTAAACACACATGCCAAATTTGACCACTTTTGGACAAGCCGATTTTAGGTAATTTGAGAAAAACTTAATCTCTTTTTATATTAAAAGTGTAAAACTTGGAAAATAAATTCGTCATATATAATAATGCTTTTATTTATTCACTATTCTAATAAACAATATGCATTCCTTCGGAAACTCTCTATTTATTTATCTAGTAATGCTAAAACACTCTATTTGAAAGTCGATTAGAGAAAATAGTATGATTCATTGGCAAGCGATGTAAATATTTGTGATCAGGTAAAATTGTGATGTAAGAGGAGGCTTAGCTT